TACCCTTCGGTGAGGAAAAACGGCTAGCATACTAAGATCCTCGGAATTTATCTGTCACTGGGTCATGGACAACAAATCTGACAAATATGCGACTCTTTAATATCCACCCCACAACCGAAGTTACCTGAAAAGTTTATTCTTTTATGCCACAATACGAAACTTGCGGTGGCTGCATATTTACCCTAGTCAAAAGACGTGGCTTGGATTGTATTTGGTTGGCCAACAGATTAAGCAAATGCAAAAATTGTTATAATCAAATTGCTACTACAATTTACTATACAGGAGTTATGCCATAATCGTTTGTAGACTACCGGGAACCAATAACAAACAGAACATCTCCATGAAACCACAACTTTCGGTGCCCAAATTCGAGACTCCGACGCAGACGACTTCCACCCAAACCCGACTCACTCAATGGCTGCAGAGGAAACAGCAAGAGCCGAAAGGTCAACGACAGGAATCCACAAGACGGTCAAAATCAACAATGGCAACGGCATCAACACCAAGACAGAGGCAGTGTGAAAATCAGGCAACACTGTCAGGAAGAGCAACATCAGCAAAGACAACAACGCAACAGCAGCAAACTTCGCCGCAGCAAATAGGCCTGGAAGTACGACGGCCTGCCAGTACACCACGGAGAGCTCTGACATTACTTTTAACTGGCCTGAAGGCTACTATCAGCAGGAATGATTTGGTGACCCATTTTGGACGTTTTGGGGAAGTTCTGAGCGTGCATATGCATAGGAACCTTTCAACAAACATGGGCACCGGGAGCGGCAACATTGTGCTCTGGCCGACAACAAACCCGGATCGCATCCTTGCAATGGGGCACACTATACGCGATGTTCGGATTAATGTCAGTAGAAGTACGCATCCGACTGTGTGGGTGTTGGATCAGTATGGTGAGTTTCTACGAGGTTATTTTGGCGGCCTTTGAACTTTATGTTGAACCACCATACTCTGGTCTTAGGAACACAACCATGAGTGCAGACGGCGACTGTAGTAGGCAAGGTTGCAGGAGAGATTGCAGATGCTGTGCTTAAAACTTTGTTCAAACTAATATTGCTAATGGTCAGTTTAGCTTTATTGAAGGTAAGATAGACGAACGCCTTTGAAGTCCGTATCGGTTAGAGAGTGTCTAAGAAAAAGTAGCGACAAGTGGAAAGTTGAGAAGAGACTGTTTGCATAATTGCATGCGGAAAGCAATCACTTGTCTGCTGGTCAAAAACTGAAAAACTAACGTCTACTCATTTACTGCGAGTAGTGTAGTTACATGCAAGTTTGGCGATTGGTCATGTGGATGCATGTGTGGTTGGTAATTGGGAAGTTTGATGCGCGTCGAGTGTGTACTCAAAGGAATGTGTCAGCTAACACGTTCTCCTCACAAATGAAGGAGAGCATAAGTAAAAGTTCATTCGATTAAGATATATTTATCTCTCGTAAATTATTGATCACCAGTAACGTTCTTTGAATTCTTTCATGTAATCTGCATTCTTCTGGACTCACGTATTTTGCTATTACATACCACTCAGAGGAGTTGGTTTTACTGAACTGAAAAACGGTTATTCGGACTACTTTCTAGATGTTAGGACTATTTGCTTGCACATTGCTAAATGACGCACTGAGCGTATTCGAGTAATGCCATATGTCCATAAAACTTCCAATTCATGTATCTCGTTTCACAGTAGTGGGGGAAGGGGGAGTGTGTGTGTGATCCCCCGGAAAAAATGCAATTCATTAAGGCCCTAACACCAACCATGGTCATGCCTTTAATGAGTAAACCTAATTCTTATCCTGTAAACTTTTGGGAAAACTCGATTCCAACCGTAACCTTAACTGAAGCCCGAAAATTATAACCTTAACTCTAACCATGAAACCTTAACTCTAACCCCTTAACCTAACCCTAAACCCAACACTTACGCGCAGACACTAACTCTGAGCTCCGACATTTGCATCAATCCCAAACCTGAGCCGCAACCCAAGCCTGACAACCGTAGCCCCAAGAATAGCCCAACTATTTGCATCAACCCCCGCTCCCAATAGAGGTTATTTTGACGGTCACTCATAACGCATTCGTGTCTGGCAAGTTAATATCGGCACATTTAAACAAACGATTACCTGCAAGTATTTTTACTGCACTTTAGGGCATGAAATCACTCTGATTTGTAAACCGGACTTAAAAATCGATAAAACGTTTGGTTTTTTTGCGTTTGCAACCAATTTTCCATGATTTTCCTCTGTTGAAAATTAATCGGCAAGTCGGACATATAACGTTTGGTAAAACTTTAAATGTAAGGCAACCCTCTTCTCAAAGAAGAACCGCTCGGATGTGCATGCTAAATCTAGATCAGCTATTAATGTGTGAAATTACCCGAGTATCTGTTAACGCAGATTGCTGCTTAAATTTATAAACGCCTGTGCTCGAGGGCGACTGGACGAATGAGCAAAATGCGCAATGTTTCAGAGGCCTGAAAAACATCAAATCAGTCACCGCCATCGCCTTGAATGAGTTAAGTCATATACTGCTTGTCATCCAGGTCAGCAGACCCAGAAGCGTCTAAATAAGAAGTAGCTTGCACTGTGTTGGCGTTCTTATTTGCAGGGAGGATAGGTAAAATAGGCACAAGGGAACCTTTCCACAATTTTATAAAATTCTAAGAGCAGGTGGCACTATTGCTACACCGATTTTTGTGGACGATTTCGCAGAGCACACCGTCAGGGAGTGTTTTCGCGTTTGCTATGTGTTACTTATGTGCGACGAGCCGACTCACTTACAGCTTCATCGTCCATATTGGAACTACCGGCGTTAGCACAATCATAGCCTTTTAGCGACAAGAAGTTGATGGTGTGGACGTCGATGACTGACCGAACCACCGGTTCCTAGACAGAATGGTTGGGTCATTATTGAACTGCATTTCTTGCGTGCATTGTGCTTGTAAGAGTATTTCTTATATCCCGGCCTTAGTTATCCGTGATCATAGTGAAATAAATTAACGCTCCTAAAAGCATAAGCAATATTGGCGGAATGTTATTACCGACAAGGTAAGGGAGACTGGAATGGCCATTTCGGGCTTATTAGCCGTCGTCAGCCAGTCATACCCAACCCCGAATTGTGGAGCACCTGGGGCTCGCACTCGTGACCTGTTTGTTATTAGTCAAACGCCTCTAACCATTGGGCCACGAGCCCGTTGCCCCGTCGGTTTCGATCGGGAATACACAATGGTAGGGGGCGCTCACTGCTCGTTCTTACGGAACTCACTCGTTCCGTTGTGCTTTACGGGCTCTCTCTCAAGCCCAAACAGCAGCCGCACAGCGGCGCATAATATAGGCAGTGTGGTATTACCGACAGAGACAAGGGAGACTGGAATGGCCATTTCTGGCTTATTTTCCGACGTCAGCCAGTCATACCCAACCCCGAAGTGTGGAACAGTCTCCCTTGTCTTTGTCGGTAATAACATTCCGCCTATATCATGCGCCGCTGTGCGGCTGCTGGTTGGGCTCGAGAGAGAGCCCGTAAGGCACAACGGAACGAGTGAGTTCCGTAAGAACGGTCAATGAGCGCCCCTCTACCATAATCAATATTATTGCCTGTAGTTCAGTTAATCCTTTTTTTAGTCAACTGTCGAAAATAACTAAAGTAGATTTTTGCGTACACTAGGTGATCTCTGCAGCTTTTCTTCGCAGAAAAACTCCCAAGGATAAGCATGATTTTAACTACACGTATACGTAAATGATCAACGTCAATTTTTATTTCTTAGTTTCGAATTTAAATTAAGACTTCCAGAATGAGCTTCGCTAAACTCTTATTTATTTGCAGGTCCCTGTCAAACAGATGCTGCATCTCGGCTGCGCACAGACGCCGAATAATTAATCATTTGATCGCTACTGTCGGCAGATCCTGGCCTTCCTCAACGTCCCTCTGCAAAATAATGTTCGCTTTAGCATGTTTTTTTTTAAAAATGGACTCTCCAATAAACAAATCCCCATGAAACCCTCTCGGCATTGAAGCTATAAAAGACATTTCGGGGCCCGTGTACATGCATTTTGTTTTCTTGTCTCTTGTTACTAGAGGTGGTTACAGTTGGTAGGCAACCTCACGTATGTTTAGAGTCAGGGTAGGTCCTCATTACTCGATCGTCCCTCGTGTGGTCTCCTTCCACGTATGCTCAGTTGTCAGTCCTTTACCATACTTTTGTAGTCGATAGATGCGTCAGCGGCTTTATGCGCGCGTAACCGATGTGATCAGTGCTCTCAGGGCCGTTGCTTACAACTCACCTTGCTCCAGCTTATGCAACACCGTCTGATGTCAATCGGGGTGTCGTAAGCGACATATTTCTGTACCTTGGGAAGAAGTACCGATGTGGGGTATTGGGCTTGGTTGTTGGCAGTAAGTCAGAGTCAGCAAACAACCGAGACATGAACTCAGATCAGAGCAGATAAGATTTATTGAGGGAAACTTCATAAAAACAATGTGTAAGGCAAGTGTCAAAGGTAAGTAATTACGTACAACAAGCATGGGTTACTGGTATAAATTTGTCTGTGGATGCCTTATATGTTAAAACTGCACAATAACCAGTACGCTGTACTGAACGGGCTCCACCAAAGTCCTGAAGATGAGGCACGGGGTACCGATCAGGAATGGTAGCGTTGTTGAGAGCACGATAGTCGCCACAGAGTCTCCAGTCGCCTGATGTCGCCTTGGGCACCATGTGCAGTAGGGACGCCCAAGGGCTCTCGGACGGTCGAATTATTCCCAGTTGCAGCATGTTTTTAAACTCCGCCTTCGCGGCGTGAAAACGCTCCGATGCTAGTCGTCTCGGGCGAGCAAATACGGGAGGATCCGAGGTGCGGATATGGTGCACAACATCATGTTGAACCTCACCACTGCCAAACTGGGGGTTAATTATGTTGGGGTGACAAAGAAGCAGTTGCCAAAAGGGGCTAACAATATCCGTATCCAAGACAGATAAGTTGGTGGGGGTAGTAAAGGGAGTTAGTCCTCAAACAAACAGACCCGTTGTGCGGTCAAAGAGACGGGCACGTCGGTAGTCAACAAGGAGATCGAACTTGGCAAGAAAGTCCGGGCCGAGGATTCCATGAGGAACATCAGCAATCACGAAGATCCAAGTGAATGACCGACGAAGTCCAATGTTCAGGGTGAGGGACCGACTGCCGAAAGTGGGAATGGAAGACCAGCTGAAAGCTTGGGGGTGAAGACCATGGTTTGGGCAACGTCGGTCGGCTGGCGTGGGAGGGATAATACTAATCTGAGCGCCAGTGTCGACTAAAAAATGCCTACCACTCGGCCGCATTTACTCTCCGGTCGAGGAGTTTCCCTGCGTGGAATTGAAGGAGCAGGATGGGACACAGCGCCGCGCCTTATCGCCATAGTTGACATGATACCAACGTAGATTGGCGGTCCTGGGGCGAGAGCGGGAACGACGACGGTCGCGGCCGAAGGAACGTCGAGAGGGACCGGGGGATCGGCGCAGCTGCAGAGCGGCAAAAGTAGCTGACAACTGGGCAATCTGTGTCTTTAGTTCAGTCAATTCAGAGGTGGACACGGTGAGAGGCTGGGACACCTGAGCAATGGTCGGGGATGACAAACGCTCAACCGCCATCATACGGTCAGCCATCTCCGCTAACTTTGATATGTCCAGGTCGTCGGAGCCAGAGGCCAAAGTTGTTTGTACGGACGTCGGCAGACGTTCTAAGAACATACCTTTAAAGAAATTATCGTCGATTTTCATGTTCACAACCAGAGAACGCATACGACGCAAGAGTTCCGACGGCTTGCGATCACCTAAGGCCTCCTCTTTTACTAGCGCGTGACAACGCTGCCGATCGGGGACTGACGTCAGACGAAGAAGTTCAGCCTTTAACTTGGTGTACGGAGCATCAGTCGGAGTATCCCTCAAAAGCGTCTGCACTTGAGAATAAATGGTAGGAGGAGGGGCCTCGACCAACTCATAATGCTTGTCGGTTTCACGCGTTTTCTTGGCGGAGTGAAAAGTCGCCTCAATACGGAAAAAATAAAGCTCTGGCGCATGTTGCCAAAAGTCTGGGAGAGAAGAAACAAGTCCACTGAATGAAGTAGTGGCATTGTTGGGATTTCTGGAGGTCATGATGGTAGAAAGAAACAAGGCAAACGGACTGTATGAAAATAGAAAGTCAACAAATTAAAGGCATAAGCGCGAGCGTCAAAAGGTCACCACTGTCGAGAGCGTTAAAGGCAGAACCAACACTCCTAGACTATGAATATCGGGATAATACCAGAGTTATGAAAGAATTAACAATCAGAAGTCAAACGACCTGACAATCCAACACATGCGAGGCGCGTCGCATAGCGTTGTGTTCCTTCCATTTAGTTAAACAACCAGTAAGTTCAAGAATGAGGAACAGGTAGGGAAAGGCAAGATAGTCTGGTGCCTCGGCACAAGCTGTTTACTTGAAAGCCGGCGTCCTGCGGTAACTGAGTTATTATAGAATTTTGTTGCAAGCTGATTGGTTCTACAACCCAACTTAATTAATCTTTTCGAAACGAAAACGCGTTTCGTAATTGCTGTTGAGATTTCATGAGCTAGCTCACTTACTGTAGTTCAGTGGTATTTTTCGCCTTCCGTCGGAATAGTCAGGAGGCTTTATACTTGATTACTTGTTAAGCTGTCTACCGGACGTCCCGCTTTGTAAAGATAATTTTCCACTTAGTAGGTCAAATGGGTTGTTTGGTATCGCAAGTGCGCATCGCAGGTAAAAGGCGACAGCTGTCTTAAATTCACTAACATTTCCTATAAAAAGACGAGAACGCAGTTGTCGAGAACTGTACGTCTAAATCGATCAGTCTTAGTGCATATTTTTTGACCAAGGCAAATTCAACTGTAAGTTGTCTTATCGATTTCGCTCTAAATTTTAATGTCAACATCCAAATCGGAGTTAAACTTGAGCGACCAAGTGTCAAAGCTTTGTATTAATAGACCAAAGTTTCTGCCATTGCTTTAATTTGTCTGCAATTCAGATTTCCGTGTTCTCAGGAGAGTGAATCCGTTACCATGGGGTGATCGTTCATTAAATTGTACTTACTAGCTGACAACTAACTAACTTCTCTCTCGTTGCAAATGAAAATACTCAGCAGGCTACATTTTTTCAGTCGAAAAGAATGCCGACGCAGACTCGAGAGCTTGAAATGAAAATTAAGGAGACATTTTTTCCCGTCCATCTTGACCAAAACAGGGGTCCTTCTGGTTGGGAATGGAAGATGAGCTAATAAAACGTAGTTAAAATGCGAGGGGCATTTTTTTCAAGAGTCAACACTCTTTACCTCGGAACAAATGACACTATAAATCTTAGATGCGTTTTCCAAGACAGCATGTCAACAGCCGAGCTTTGACAGTGCATAAAAGGTCCTTTAGAAATAACCTCCACATTAAATGATGCAGTAATTACCTGGCTTGGGTTTATGTCTATAGCTGTCAAAGTTAATGAAATTGGAATTACTACTCCTTTTTATACCTGCACCCTGTCACAATCAATACCCTCCTCCCAACGATGCTGACTCGAGCTCGTATGAGGTAAAGCGCAGTTTGACCAGACGAGTAAGGCCATTGAGCATTCATTCGGACTTCTCTGCATTACAATTTCCCAACAAGGCAAAGGACCTGGTCATTCCAAACTCTGAAGACATTCGAAGGATACAACATCCGCCAGGACACAAAGATCCAAAACCTCGTGACTGGATATTCAGGACACGATTTATATGATCTCCCTTATGTACTGCTTATCGAAAACTCAATTCTTGGCATGACACTTACCCAAACCGTAAAACCAACCCTACTCCTAAACCGAAACATCAGGTTGCCCTTTTCCGTTTTAGCTTCGACTATTTTTTTATTAACAGTTTCAGCATACTTCGTTGGCTTACTTTAATAACGATACCTATATTGCGCGTACACTTGGGTCTTGGATAGCGTAACTGACCGCTTCCTACAAAACTTTCAAAAGTCAGCCAATTCTCCAACTATCTGTTGTCCCCTATAAATGAAATTTGCGAGATGCGACTTCTGCCCAAATCTGTCATTGTCAAACCTAACATGACTTTGTCGTTCTTTCTAAAGTTATTAGGGTTAGAATGGAGGTGTTTTGCAAAGTTGGTTTTTATGGGACTGTTGGAGCGTTAAGGGCTAACGCCTCCCCATGGTTCAACGGTTACCAGATCTGATAGCGTTTCACAATTTTTCTTGAAACCCCCCACTACCCATCTGCCACCCGTTTAAAATCATCCCATTAACATCCCTTTTTGAAACCTAAGATGTCTGATAGCGTGTCTTCTGTCAAAAGCAAGCCTAATCACTTTGGTTCTTAAGTACGTCCGCCTAATTGCCTCCTCATTCACCTATTTTGATACCGTGGGACCGTATGCGCACTGCAATTAACAGTGCGCACACATTTATCTGCGAATGTCTCTGATGATGGATTCGAGTGAGAATCCGAAACGTCAGGCCAATAAATTTCCTATTCCAGTGATCGCATCCTCATCTTCTGAACTGCTACCTGGAACTCGCCTGTTCGCTTCTATCAGCAGAGCATCACATGTGCAAGACTGGACGGACTGTTGGGCCGTTCTTGTGGATCTTCGGTGGAGCATACGAGCGCGGGATGGGTGTGCATACTGGGTGGAGGTTTTCCAATTAACAATCGCTTATGCAGCCTCCTACATGAAGTCTGCGTAGGCATTCAAAGCAGACTCTATACGGATCCTATTTTGGATTTAAGACAATTTTTTAGCAGGTCGACATGTTTTGGAAGTTACGCAGTATAAATAGCCTTCACATCACACTGAATTTTCTCTCTTGAATAGACAAGTTGACAAAGCGAACAGCTAGCAGTCTGGCAATGAAACGTTAAATAAATAATGGACATGGAAAAATCCCATATGATCCGACTGTTTTTCTTTGAGAGTACATTCAAAGATAGCGTATTTGACGAAATGGGACTGATGATTGTTAAGCAAAGTACATCAAATAACAGCTGAAAAATCAACCACCTCGCGCTGAACAAACCCATAGTACACCTTTTTAAAATTTCAAAAAGTACGTTGAAACTTGCGCGGATAACAGGGAATGATTTGAGGCCCACATCCTAATAAAATATTGATTACATGATAATTGAGATTTAATCAATTAGTTGACATTTTGGCAGATTTTGAATAATTCATATTGACCCAACTGTGAAAAACTCGGCAGCTCGGTGGGATTCGAACCCACGCAGTAAGGGGAAGGCTTTAGCGCAGCCAACGCTCTAACCACCTGGGTAGGTGTGATGCGGCCCCAAGGTATAACGGGATGAGCAAGTCCCGCAAAGCGATCGGTGAGCGTCCCCCACATTGTATATACCTGATCGCAACCGACCCTACAACGAGCCCGTGGTTCAGCGGTTAGTATGTTGGACTTCTAACCAACAGGTCGTGGAATCGAGCCCCGAGGAGTTGCGTACGGTTGGCAGTCGACGGCAAATAAACCAGCAATGGTCATTCCAGTCTCCACTGTCTTTCGTGACAACACCATTCTCTAGGTCATAACGGTTTGTCTGACAAAAGGTCGGCAAATGAGTCATGCGGAGCGCGGTATTTGATTGTCACTAGAGTTATTGACGTTAAGGTTGCACGAATCGGGCTGAAGATTAGGGTTACGGATACGGTTGGAGTTAGGGTTAGTATTAGGACTTGGGTTATTTTGTAGCAGCCGTTTCTGTGCCTCCTCGTTCGCCTACGTACGCGCCACGGCTGCACACACTAACCCTCGATCTGTCTCGCTGCAGTCCCGTCCCCACCGCACTCCTGATTGATTCTCTGCCTGCAGCATGCAAAGTTCGCCACTACCCTCACGTGCTCTCGAAGCCAATCAATGCAACTACTTTCGCTGAGTGGTAACACGGGCGGGTACATGAGGCCGCGACTGACGCTCTCCATGAACGGACGCTTAGCTCTGTCACAAGCAAGCAGCCAACTCACAGCAACCTGTACTGTGTACAGAATAAACCTGCTCTCACGGCGCCCTAACTTCTGACATTAGACGAAACGGGATTATTGGATGTGGTTTAAGCAGATCTCACATCTTTGACCACCAAAATTTCTAGGACTAAGGTTGACAGGCCTGGGTTATAGTCTACATTTCCGGTTGAGGCAAAGGTTTGGATTTAGAATCATGGGGAAGAAGTTTGGGCTAAGGTTTTGGGGGTTGGGCTTACGGATTAAATACCTAGGCTTAAGGTTGCGGTTACGTCTGGGTTTTCCCAAAATGCTTACGGGTTAAGGGTTGGGGCTACCCATTGCAGTCATTCATGTTGCCGGGATGACACTGCAAAAACTCGATGACACGCAGGCTACCATGTTTCAAGCATCTAGACACTTTCTCATGCAACAAAACGGAGGAGGAAGATGGATTCTGGGAGTTTTTAACATCATAACCAGTTAATTTTTGTCGACGAAGTAGAAATACGGCGGGATGGTAGTTGGTAGCCCTGCCAGTTAGCGATCCTTTCCTGCACTTCCAATTTAAGGCACTACGATTTCAGTAGCTGTGATTACTTTCTCATTATGTCTGGGAGTGCACGCGCAGAAGCCCTGTCAGGGTGAATTTCTTGTTCACTTTAACCGCCCAGAGAACGTGGCGCTGCAAAAAATGCTTATATAGATTCATCGTATTGCACCCCTGCACGTAAATCTTTAGTAAAAGGCGAAAGATTTATCCTAGGCGCATTATGATTAATCATGCTTCTCATTACCATCCTAGGCGGATTGGCGCGGGTCTCCGATTTGTCGGTTTGCCTGCGTCCTTAGGTCTTTTTACTCGAGACCTCCTGCAGAGTCCGGCGTGATCGTGTACGACAAGGACAACCGTCGCGCAAATAGGGTGTCTACCGATACTCCACCCACGTATAGCACACAACTACTGCCATAGTTTTAATCCTAAATGTGGCCACAGTGGCAATAAACTATTATTTCTGGATCTTCTCTTCCGCCCAAACATATTCTTGGCATTAAAGTCTTACCCCGCTTGCGTTATGCCGTCCTGCGTGCCGCTGCTTGATTCTCGTGTTCTAATGTCCATTCTATCTGTTTGAGTACTATCGCACATACTGCGGAATAACCTTAAGACACACCGCCTTCTTCCCATTGGTTGTTCACCTTCAATTGCTATTCTTTCCAATCTGGGGTAAGGCTGCATTAATTTCGCATACGGTTCTACTTAACCATGCTCATTTCCATACCCATCTTGCACTTTTCACCTTATTTAAATTAGGCTTTCACTTTATCAGAAGCGTCATTTCCAGGCGTACACTACCAGCGCCATTTACGCCTCCACTCATTTGCCCCACCCGTATAGCCCCTATTACCACCGGTCCCGTAAGACAGGTAGCTGGGAGTTTTCGGCACCGGGAGGCCTACCAACTACCATCTAACCAGAAATACTCTTTTTCATCGATGTCTCAGACGCGTAAGCTTTCAAAGACCATATTTTGGCTAATTCTGACGTATGCAATGTTAAAGTTTTCAGGAAAAAAATGTTAGTTGCTGAATTCGGCGAGTATTTTCCAAGCAACATAATATTTACATTCTCCTGTATGCGGCTTCCGTGCGACGCGAAAGTGGACTTTAGGAGAAGGAGGAAAGTGTGTGCACTTCGTGACTGACAAGGGGTAGATATTTACGCACGGCCGTGCCTTTTCTGCATGTGAAAGCCGCCATTTCAAAGAACCGGTGTTGTGGTGTCAACGCACACGAAACATTTCAAAGGAAACTGAGGCCTGACAGTGTTGCGGGCCGATTACAGGTTCCTGTGCGCACAATAGATAGATTTACCAACATGTCAGAAGGTCGTATCCACCACTCCGACCTTTCTGGTGTGATCTAAAAAAAGGTGATTTGACTTCGGTAACTCGCAATTCTGAAGCCTTCCTGATTTAATTAATTGCCACTGACCTAGGTACGCTGTTTTGAAAAATCAGTCGCCTGAAGCTTGCGCCGATGCTCGTAGAGTCCAAACAACTGATTGCCTAATTTTAATGCTTTGACAGGGGGTTTACAGCATTCTAGTTAACTGATACAGGCAAAAACCTGACGAGAGGTCAGACCCCAAGTTTCGATAAATTTGCCTATGGGATGAGGACGTCGTAAAAACTGTTGCTTTTAATTTCCTCGGAAATTAATCACCAACCTAGAGTAACTGTCGGTCATGTTACCACGCCATCGGTATGAGGGTGGCCAACCATTTTAAGACAAACACCTGTTCCCAATTAATGACTCGTGTCAGGGAAGGACGCTTTATGACATTCGTTGCAGAAAGAGGGAAGTCAGGTACGTCGGAAAGACGAGCGGTTTCTGTCAAAGGTGGGGAATCGCACATATACCGGTGGGGATGAGTAATGGCAACAACCACACAAGTGCGGTTCGCTCAGTGTGATCCGATGATGAATTTGACTGTATAAGGAAAACAAACGCCCTGCAAAGGGCTACAAACACTTGAATCAAAGACTGTCCACGTCGTAGTGATGCGGCACGATGGTGCAGAAAAGCATTCAGCAAACGTTGTGTCCTCTGTGTATGCCTCTTCAGTTATTGTGAAGGTGAGAATGAATACAGAATCTCGGGCGTAAAAATACAACTCCGCCGCCGTTGACTGAAAAATTATTAGCATTGTGAAAATCGTCACTGGTAGTGGCATTAGAAGAATCAGTCGTAATGGTATTACCGACAAAAACAAGGGAGAATGGAATGGTCATTTCTGGCTTATTAGCTTATGTCAGCCAGTCATACCCAGCCCCGAAGTGTGGAACACCTGGGGCTCGAACTCGCGACCTGTTAGTTTGAAGTCCAACGCCTCTAACCACTGAGCCACGGGCTCGTTGTCCTGTCGGTTGCGATCGGGAATATAACATGGTAGAGTGGCGCTCACCGATCGTTTCTACCGAACTCACTCGTCACGTTATGCCCATTGTATATTCCCGATCGCAATCGACAAGACAACAGGTCCGTGGCCCAGTGGTTAGAGGCGTTCGACTTCTAACCAACCGTTCGGGAGTTCAAGCCCCAGGTGTTCCACTTTCGGGGCTGGGAATGACTAGCTGACATAAGCTAATAAGCCATAAATGACTATTTCAGTCTCCCTTGTCTTTATCGGTAATGCCATTATGCCTATATCGTGCGCTGCTGTGCGGCTGCTGGTAGGGCTCGAGAGAGAGCCCATAAGGCACAACGGGACGAGTGAGTTCCGTAGAAACGATCGGTAAGCGCCCTCCTACCACAGAATCCGACTTGTTGCTGAATTACGTCACATTATCCCCATCGATATCGTCGAAGGTACCTTCATTACCAGTATTCGTTCTTAAGTTCTAAGCTGCGATAGATCAGTACGTGTTTGGGCAAATAAAATCCTGTGCTGAACTGCTTTCGACAGGCATGTCTGACAGTGTCGACAATTCCGTCGAGCCGTAAGGAATTTATAGTTATTTGTCTAATTTATTCAGCGGTCCAGCATACGCCGTGTTGGCTCTGGCCGCCAAGACAAGATTGTCAATTAGGGCGCTCGAACCTTAGTAGTATGATGAATAAAACCATGTGCTACCTACTGCATTATGGCTCCCCAACAAGTGCTACGAATTAACGATCGCAATAACTGACGAAATACAAATAAACAAGTATAACGTACGAGAGAGACACGGTGGCTGGGACAAGAACTTTATTAGCCTGACGTTTCGGATTCCTGCTCGAAATGTTCATCAGAGACAAAAGCAGATACGGGTGGTTTATGCACAAGGGACTGCAGTATTTATAGGATGCAGTCGCCATGCTACCGCATACCTATGTACATTCACGGCTCTCCCCCTTCATCAGGGACCGTTGGACGTGGTGTGATGACTGTTTAATGACCGACATTCGCGTCGTTAATCGCTGCAATTTCATCGCGTGCGTTGCATGCTGGTGTGAGGATTGCTCGACCACCTGACCAAACGACCTTGGCATTGGGAAAAGCGTTTACCTGTGCGCTCCCCGCGCGGCCATTTACTCCGTCCAGGCGAAATCTCAGCAACGAGTATCGTATGGGAAGATTATTGCACTAGTTAATGGACTGGGGGCCAGTAAACCTCGACGCAAGCAGCTCCCGGCTCACGCGGTGGTCACCTCCTGCGAGAATTTCGGCCTCGTCGAATTTGAACGTGTGGCCAGGTCTCGTCGAATGAGCCCCAAATGCTGCGAGAAGGCGACCGACAGTTTTCGAAACGTTCTTGACATACGGAAGCGCTCGCCAAACTTTTGTGTCCGAGACTGCACCAATACTGTGTCCAGACTTGGGCATTTTGTCGACCACCACTAGGCCTTTCTCCAGAACGACGGAGTCCCATATGGTCTAAGTTCTTCATTCCTGTGTAGCCTAGTCCAGAAACGCTCGCCTGATGAGTTGAAATATAAACAAGGCCAATTTGGACACCTGCGTTCATTTCAGCCAAGTCCTTCTGACCATAAGTTCGTTACAGTGCTGTGCCGTTTAGAAAGTAGATCCTGAGTAGTCAGATTCTTTAACTCTGTTGAGATGTTTGGGATGTTTGTGCGCCCACAGTTAGGGGCTGCGGTATTTATAGGATGCAGTTGCTATGCAAACGCATACCTATGAATATTCACGGCTGCATCCATTCATCGGGGACTGCTGCACTTGGTGCGACGACTGTTTGATGGTCGACATTCGTGTTTTTAATCGTTGCAATTTCACCCCGGTTGGTGTAGCGATGGCTCGACCATCTGACCCACCGACCCTGATGGTGGGGAAATGTTCACCTGTGCGTTCCCCGAGTGGCTAATTACTCCCCTAGGCGATGTCCCGACACCGAAAATGGATGGAGAAGATCACTGAACTTGCTAATAGACTAAGGGCCAGTGAGCCTTGACTCAAGCAGCTCGCGGCCCACGCGGTTGTCACATTTAGAGAGAGTTTCAGTCGCGTTGGATTCGAATGTGTGTTCGGATCAACTCTAGTTAGCTGCAACTTGGGAGCTGGCGTCATTTCTCCGCAATGCCGCCGCGTGTTCGGACATTCGTGTTCGGGATAGTCTTCCGGTTTCACCGACGTAGTTGCCTTGTCCCCAACTGCGAAGAGCTCACAAAAATTAGGAGACCATGTGGCCTGGCCCTTGCTCAGTTTGCGTAAGCACTGGTTGGCGAAGTTGCACAAGTAACCGGTGGCTTTGAAGACAATCTTATCTTCCGGCTCAATGCAGTGCATTTGAACACGCCGATAGAGCACCCTTACACAACTGTGTTTGTGGCTGGTTGGGTGGTTGCCGTTGAAGTTCGACGCTTGCGTCAAACCTTTCGCTTTCTTGAGCATGTTGGTCCTTAGGACACCGCAGTCTTCGCGGCAAACCAGCTGGTCGATTTCTACCTCTTTCATTGTAAACTGGATGTCGGGGATAACAGCATTGAGAGGTTCTTTGAATGTAACTGATCCTGGTCGATAACGACGAAGTTGTCATCCATATACCGGGGCCAGAACTTCGGTCTGCGGTTTTGGAAGACATACGACACTAACCGTTGCATGACCGTCTCGACGATGAGTCCCGAAATCGGCGGACCCATTGGTTTGCCATTCCCCCGCTCGTAGATTGTCCCATCAAACGTGAACAATGTCTTAAGGCAGAACTTCAGAAGTTAGATTATTTAAGCGTGTCCTAGGCGAATCTCAATTTCATTGCATCTGCTTTGTAGATGCGGCTCGACTATCTCGATTGCCAGTTTCTGGAGGATAGATGTAAAGAGGGACGTAACATCCAAAGATACAGTTGCTTCATTTGAAGGAAGGCTTACCCCTTTTGCGTTTCTCCATGATTTGTGCAGACGAAGAGTCCGTGGTGTCCGACTCAGCGGTCAGGAACTTGAGACGCCAGAACGGCCACTTATTCAGTCCGTACGTTGGAGTACCCCTGAGCGACATGACGGGTGGGAGAGGAGCGCCCTCATTGTGCACCTTAGGGAGGCCGAAGAATCGGGCCAAAGTCGCATCTTGAGGTCTCGCTATGCGTCTGTCGGTCGGTGTTATTGCACCTGAGTACTCCATGGCCAACTACGTAGCATTAATTCCGCATGCTAACGTTTCTCCAGGACGGTCTTTCGACTGCTCCATTCCACTAAGCTATACACATATACAGAAGACGGGCAAACTCAGTAGATGTCAAACGAAATTCCGAAAAGATTAAATAGGGTTGTAAAATTGATCAATATGGAGCATAATTCTGTAATAATTCAATTACCACAGGATACCGGCCTTAGAACAAACTTCTTTTCAGCTGCGTGCAAAAATTCTGCTCTGTAAAAAATGACTACTTACGTAGCATACACTTTTCTCATTGATTTTCAATGCCCTTAAAGTTCAATTATATTGTATAGAAAACAGGCATAGAAATATTCCTATTGACCCAACTGTGAAAAACTCGGCGCCTCGGTGGGATTCGAACCCACGCAGTAAGGGGAAGGCTTTAGTACAGCCTTTCCCTTACTGCGCGGGTTCGAATCCCACCGAGGCGCCGAGTTTTTCACATTTGGGTCAATAGGAATTATTCAAGGTCGGCCAAAATATCGATGAATAGAAATATTCGTTTTTCTACGCATTCGGTAGAAAATGACGTCTTCTTCAAGTTTTACACTCAAAAGAAGGGTAGAATTCTGTTTTCAAACACTTTTCCAATTCCCGAATAATCTTGAATCCGACCTGCCGTTACACCCACATTAAAGGCTGCCAAAATACAAGTGATCAATTTTCCGCGTACGAAAAACCGTACATTTGTTTACGGCATTAAGAGGAGGTCATATAGGGTTCATAAAATTTAGCAGTGGATTTGAGCCATATGTTAATTTTACAAGTAACACTGGTAAATGCACAGCCATGACGTTTTACTAACGGCCATTTCACGGTACTAAAAATCTTACAATTAGCAGCTTCTTTAAAATCGAATGCTACCCTTGCTTCAAGTATAACATTTAGAAAAGGCGTAACTTTCTACCAAATGAGCAAGAGAATGAATATTCTGACGCAGGTTTTCCAAGAAAAACGGTTCAATTTTTTAAGGGCAGTGAAAATCAATTAGAAAAATGCATGCTACATAAGTAATTATTTTTTACAGAGCGTGGTTTCTGCATGCAGGTGGGAGGAAGTTCGTTCGAAAGCCGGCATCCTGAGGTAGCTGAATCATTATTAGAAATATGCTGCAGGATAATTAGTTTTGCGACTCTACTTAGTTAATCTTTTCGAAACGAAAACTCCGTTCGGAATTTCGATTGATATTTCATAAGTTAGCCCACTTACTGCAATGACGTTGTCGATAAGGACAGGACTGACCGGCATGATCATTTCTAGCTCATCAGTCATCTGCAGCCAGCCAAACCCAACTCCAATGTGCACAACACATTAGACTCGACTAAGCAAACTTTTGGTTAGAAGTCCTACGTGCTCACTACCGAGCCACGGGTCTGTTGACCTATTGGTTGTGGTCGGTCACCTTAGCAATGGTAGACGGACACTCATCAAATTCGTCCCGCCGTCCCTTGGAGCTCAGTCTCGAGTTCCGTCAGCAGCCGCTCAGCGGTTAGCACTAGAGGCAAAATAACATTACTAACAATATTAGGAAAAACAAACTCGCATCGAACCCCGTGATTTCCAGAGACAATCATCGCTAGAGAATACGGACATGCAGTAAAATACTATGTCAAATTTAGTTGAAAAGTAACGTGAGAGTTTTTGACAAAGATGAGGTTACATTATGACAATTCCGGCTCGCGCTTATTCTGTTTACAATTCAAATTATTCAAAGATGTTTTGGTAGATTCTGAATAATTCATATTGACCGAACTGTGAAAATCTGCCGAAACATCTATGAATTACGTGAGTCTGATAGTCATCTTGTGGATTATAGGTGAATTACTTAGGAAATCCTGCTTGGCAGTCAACGTACTGTATCAGATTTGGTGGATTCCAGACGTTGCAGTAAGTTGGGCGGGTAACTTGGCGCAAATGTGGTTAAACTCGTGTCGTCCGGCGGGGTCTCGTAGCTCAAGTGGTTAGAGCGTTGGCTGTAATAAAGCCTTCCCCTTACTGCGTGAGTTCGAATCCCACTGAGGCGCCGAATTTTTCACAGGTGGGTCGATATGAAATTCAGATAAACTTTTAAAATGTTGCTCGACTGCCAAAAAAGAAGCCTACACCGAAGTACTGGTGTGTCATTTTGCTAGTGTGCCGGAAAATCACTCCCTCATTAATGGCAAACATGCATTCACAAGATTCCCTGACAGTCAGTCGAAGATCCGAAGCCTTGGCGAGGCTTGCGTTACATCAACTTTAAAGTGATCATTGTGATTGGCGTTCTGCGAGACCAATTATGTCACAGCCCTATGCATATTGGCTGAGCTGGAAGCCTTGACTCAGAGCCTATGCGTAATGCTTTGTAGCGAGACTGAAATCACACCTACAGTTCGTCCTGTCAGAACCAATTAGAACAAAGTTTTGGTGAACTGTGGTTACAGTGGTGCATTTCGCGGATCCGACACAAGTCGGTATTCGAGACGTTATTTCTTCGGACCGATTAGGCAGAGATAACATTAACAATCTCGGTCCGGGCGTGTTCTCCACTGCTGCTATCACAACAACGTTACGAATAACATAGGTCAAGTTTGAGGTGAGTCAATAAAAGCTTTATTCCGGAGACTATGAGAGATTGCCTAAGATTAGCCCAATATAATGGGTAGATATTAACTGAGTTAGAGAGTTTTAGGTCTCATATCAGTGGCGGCACATTGTAACAGCGGAGTTTGATCGATCTGTGCTGCACCAACTCGAGCGTTAGTAGGATATCAATGAATTTGAGCAATCTAACTCATCCAGTGGCAGTACAAAATGCACCTTACGTAATACCACACCCTCCATCACCTCCTTCGGTATTTTCCATGGTTTCATGGACGTCCAGCATTCACCGCGCGGTCTACGTTTATGTCTAAAGGAAATACGACAGGCAGAACGTAACCGTCTAGCTATCTGGCTCAGAACATAGTGCGTAGGGCACTGCATGCCGGCCTATCCTCTAATATCCACTTCGATGATCCGTGTGGATAGTGCAAGTCCTCTCCAGGTTCTGTGCGACTACTGAACCGACGTCATCGCTGCAAATGATTTCAATAATGTGTTACTTTGTCTGGATCACGGTGCATTTTTCCCCTTATTGCCGCTGACAGGGATCAGGTTTGCCACAAGATATATATGTATATCAATCAGGAATGGGCGCACACCGATCTATTGGCTTCACAAAGCAAACAAGCTCCGTATGTGTGGCAAAGGTCACGAACAGGCAACCAATTACCAGGCCGAAGTCGGCCAAGTCATAATAGCAGCGAGGAGGGACGACAGAGAATGCGGGTAGATTGATACAGCACTGTTTCGGGCTTATTCTGCTTTCATTCAGCCAATCATAATCCTGACCACCAGCAGCTGGAAACAGAAACACAAACATGCGCACATCTGGTAGGCCTCAGTGGTGGACCGACTGCCCCAGGTGCGTCTGTGCGCATGTTTGTGTTTCTGGTTCCAGCTGCTGGTGGTCAGGGTTTTGATTGGCTGAATGAAGGCAGAATAAGCCTGAAACAGTGCTGTATCAATCTACTCGCATTCTCTGTTGTGCCTCCTCGCTGATATATATATATATATCCTTGCGGATTTTTTACCCCTCTGACCCAGAAGACCCCATTCAACGCGCCAGCAGGTTACCACAAGTACACAACAACTACAGCGACTGCTCTCTTGGCAGGCCTTCTACGTCTGGACCAGTCTATTTTAATGAAGATATGGATAGCAGCAAGCCGGCTGATCGCGGTCAACATGCAGCTTTTTCTGCGTTCGCGAAGAGGCTCCAAATTACCCACCATAACGTCGTCCTACACTGCGTGACCGATCTCATGAAATGTTTGCCGAAATTTTGAAATTCGTTTTCGATTAGGAAGGATTACTTAGAAGAGGTTGTAGTATCGATTGGCATGCCGCGTAATCCTATAGTATTTCAGACTCGCTAGGATGTCAACTTTTTCATGCACTTCTTTTTGTCCTGTCGCAGAAACCATACTCGGTGAAAAATGACTACTTAAGTAGCATGTATTTTTCCTATTGATTTTCGATGGTCTTATATATTGAAATATATTTAGTAGAAAACATGCCCAAAATATGCTTTCTTCTACTTTGTTGGTAAAAAATCATGTTGTATTTATATTTTATACCCAAAGAAAGTGTTTTAAAAAGTTTCTAGTTGTGAGCTTTTTAAGACCGCCATGCATACGGGACAGCACATGTCCGTTTACTTATGCTCCTCCTGAAACGTACAACACAGTCCGGATCAATTGCAAAAGTTCATGAACTCTATGTGGTATCTTCTTAAAGGCCAATAATATTTCCAACAGCAGGTAAATGACCCTATCAAGACGTGACTTCAAGAGGAGTGGTCTAAACTGAATGCCCATCTTGAATTCCACATATCAGTCTGGCCTTTAGACTGATAGGCCTTGTTTGGTACCGAGTACTGACGACCTTATGAGATTTGAAATCGCGTCTTCTCCTTTACAGCGAAATGATGCCACTTTTTATGCTTTGGTTATGGGATATCAGTTTCTATCGGGTCTAAAACTCTAACCTCTGGGAAATCGCAATTTGCCCAATGCATTGCCCAAACGAAACGGCCATTTTCACGCATGGCATTTAAGGGTTCAAAAAATGTCCTTTTTGTCTCCTAACTCTGCTGATAACTTGTAATACCATACGTGCAGTGTGTGAACGATCTCGAGGAATGTTGGCAGAAGTTCTGAAATGTGCTTTGGATAAGAAAGGATTTCTTAAGTGGAATTGAAATAATCATTACCCTGCGACACAATCCCGTGCTATTTTGGACTCGACAGGATGTTTGCTTTTAAATACGCTTCTTTTTAACCTTCTGCAAAAACCACACTCGGTAAAAAACCTGATTAGTATGCACTTTTCACACTGATTTTCGATGATCTGATAAATTCAAGCATATTTTATGGAAAGAA